GACTCAAACGTTGCAGGTTTGAATTGAGTACAAAGCCACATTTCCAGAGACCATCCTTACTTCCTATTGTTTGCAAAGTATTTCTGGCAGAAGTGGCCCCAGTCATCTCCACACGTGGCCCCCGGGAGCGAGCGTGAGGGATCTGGGGAGATATTTCTGTGTATGGCTGAGTCCCATGGGCATGGGCATCCAGTTTGTTGAATCTGAGGAATCTGTGACTCCGAACAGTGGTGCCAGACTTGTGTTTGCGCTCACACCCTGAGGAGACCTGAGTCAGCGCCTACTTCCCTGACACACCTACGCGTGGGGTTTGTTTTTTGTCATTGGATTGTCTGGTTTGAGTTTTTCTTGTGTTATGAATACGTAGGAGCAGCGAGGGGACTTGCTACCCTGAAAAAGAATAAGTTTTGAGTAGACTTGATCTCTTGATTCTTAGTGTTGGTTGAGATGAGTTCATCTGGCCTAGAACAAAGGTAACACGACACTGGGTCCTAGGGAAGTTAGGGGAGTCAAAAGATTTTGGCAAGAGACCTGAGTGGCAGAGGCATTTGCATCCACACAGTGGTTCTAGAATTGGGAAATCAATGTTATATTTACGGATGGCACACTCTCTCTGTAAAGCGATGAAAAAAATATCCTAGGGTGAGGATTAACAACAACAACAACAAAAAATCTCTCAGCATTGAAGTGCAGAAATAAATACACAAAACAATTGTATGATTCTAGGTGACTTGGGAAATTTGAAAGATGCTCTTCTATTGCTTCTCTTGGCTCAGTGCTTGATGAATTTTTTTTCCACAAATACTTTAGAACAGGGGTGGGCAAACTTTTTGACTCGAGGGCCACAATGGGTTCTTAAACTGGACTGGAGGGCCGGAACAAAAGCATGGATGGAGTGTTTGTGTGAACTAATATAAATTCAAAGTAAACATCATTACATAAAAGGGTACGGTCTTTTTTTTTTTTTTTTTTTTAGTTTTATTCATTTCAAACGGGCTGTAGTTTGCCCACGGCTGCTTTAGAATAACAACCTTTAGAATAACCAAACACTGAATTTGAGGAATATTTAAAATCTCAACAGATTAGTGCCTTCTCAAAACAGTGGCTAAATTGAGTAATGAAGGTCTGTGTCCATTTATATTATCACTAGAGGCCTGGTGCATGAAATTCGTGCAAGAGTAGGCCTTCCTTCCCCTGGCTGCCGGCACCGGCTTCCCTCTGGCACCCAGGACCCGGGCTTCCCTTTGGCCGCTGGCAGGCACCTGGGAACTGGGCTTCCCTCCGGCCACTGGCAGGCACCCGAGACCCAGGCTTTCCTCACAGCCCCGGTTTTGTTCAGAAGGTTGCCCAGAAGGACATCCGGAAGGATGTCTGGTGTAATTAGTGTGTTATGCTTTTATTATTATAGATGATGTGAGCATTTTACAAATACCAGTAACTACCATTTATTTCTGGTTACCATGTGCCAAGTGCTGTACTAAACACTTTATAAACATTATCTCATTTAATCCCTAAAATAATTTAAGATGTAGGCTTTATGGTCCTCATTACACAGATGAGAAAATGAGGTACTTAGTGTTTTAATATGTCTAAGCTTCCATAGCTAGGAAGACTTAAAAGCCAGGATAGTTCCTTCTCAAATTATCATCTTTGCTTTGCTACCACATAATCTGACTGATAGGTTAGTTCTTTGAAATGCAACATGACATAGAATTTCTTGAAGGAGTAGTTGGTCTTTAGAATCTTTGAAACATTTTAAGCCTAATCAAGATTTGGGAAGGTCCAAGGAACTGATTGCATATGTCCAGTGCCAATTTTTCTGAAATAATTTTTCTGGTGTTTTGATTTGGACTTTGATCCATCCAAAACAAGCATCGAATGCAGTGGAATGACATCTAAATGGGCAGTTTTCACCAGTGGCTACACAAAGAATCACCTGGGGAGTTTTAAAATGCAAACCCAAGAAAACAAAACAAAAAACTGGAAAGCCCAGTGCCCGTTCCCAGATATTCTTGTGTGTGTTTTTTCACCCCAGTTTTATTGCAATGTAATTGACAACATTGTACTAGTTCAGGTGCACAACATAATTATTTGATATATGTATATATTGAGAAATGATCACTACATTGAGATTAGTTAACCGTCAACATCACCTCACATAGTTACACATTTTTTAAAATTCTTACCCCAGGATATTTTTCCATTGACTCTTTTTTTTTAGAGACAGAGAAATATCAATGTGAGAGACACGCCAATTGGTTGCCTCCTGCACACGCCCTGACCAGGGCTCGGCGTTGAGCCTACAACTGAGGTATGTGCCCTTGACTGGGATCATAACTCAGGACCTCTCAATATGTGGGCCCATGCTCTATCCACCGAGTCAAACAGGTTAGGGCCACCTTTTTTTCTTGTGATAAGAACTTTAAGATCTACTTTCTTAGCAACTTTCAAATGTACAATATGCTAGTATTGTTAACTATAGTCACCATGCTGTAACTTATAACTGGAAGAATTTGTACCTTTGACCACCTTCACCCATTTTCCCCTTTTCCCCTCTCCCCACAATGCCTGCCTCTGACAACCACCAGTCTGTTCCCTATTTTTATGAGATTTTTTTTTTTTTTTTTTTTTAGATTCCGCATGTAAGTGGATCATAAAGTCTTTGTCTTTCTTTGTATGACTTATTTCACTTAACATAGTGCCCTCGAGGTGCCTCCAGGTTGTTGTATTGGTAGGAGTCACAACCCTGGGTCCTGTTGTGCTTGTAGTCCGACTCTGCAAATTGGGACCACCACCATGCCTCACTCCTCACTCTCTCATCCCACTCACCCCAGCCCTTTGAAGTGGTGGTGGTGGCAGAAGAGGAGGAAGGCGGGGAAGGAGAAGGACCAAGAGGAGGGGGAGGTGAAGAAGAATTGGAATTAGAGGAGGAGGAGTTGGAATTGGAATTGAAGGAGGAATTGGAATTGGAGGAGGAGAAATTGGAATTTGAAGGAGGAATTGGAATTGGAGGAGGAGAAATTGCAGGAGGAAAAATTGTCACCATTTGCACCATTCCAGACTGGTGATCTTCAAGGAAGTTCTGCTTGGAAGGTTATCAGCTCTGCAGTGCCAGTTCTTGGGATACAACTTTTCTACGATTTATTTAGGTTTTGGTTCTTTGTTTTGTTTGGTTTCCTAGTCCAGGAACATCCGAGAGGCTTTTGTTATATTTGTTAAGATCAAACATAAGTAAGTCAAGGGGCTATTTCAAATGTTGGTCACACACACGTGCTGTTTTATTTCAGTGGAATTAAGTTTTCCCATCTTTTCTTCTCGCCTTCAACCTACTCTGTTCAACTTAACTTGTCACCTGTTCCCACCACTCTGCAGACTTTTTTCATGTGAACAGGGACAGAGGGCAATAAATCCAACCAACTGTGGCCAATAGTCTAGAATGCAGAGGATTTTTTAAGACAGATAAGTGGTGTGCTGTTTTCCAGAGTACCCAATTGGAGCACAGATTCTGTGGAAATAGGTGTTAGCAGGTTACCAGTTGGAGCACTAAATTAAATTTTCACTAGCAAATATTTGTTGACAGTAGTTTAAATCATTTTTTTTTATTCTGTTCACACATGAGAGGGCAGTATGGTACTATAAAGCAAATGTTCTGGTGAAGTGCTTGTTTATATTGGCATATAATAGTTTTTAGGTGAGGACTTTTAGACCCTATGATTGTAACTTAGATACGGTTGTCTGTTATTAAATATGATACCAATATGTGATACCCTCATTCATACACACAGGTCATATGGCTGTTTGTGTTCAAATGCACAAATATAATTTCCTTGCAACAGTGGCACTTTTCACACCGTGCCTTTTAGTATTTTACTAGAGGCCCGATGCATGAAAATTCGTGCAAGAGTAGGCCTTCCTTCCCCTGTCTGCCGGCACCAGCTTCCCTCCGGTACCCGGGACCCGGGCTGGCTTCCCTCCAGCTACCCGCAGGCACCCGGGACCGGGCTGGCTTCCCCTGGGCTGCCCACAGGCACCCGGGACCCAGGCTGGCTTTCCCCACCCCGGCCCCAGCTTCATCAGGAAGGACATCCGGAATGACATCTGGTCTAAGTAGCATATTACCCTTTAATTATTATAGATATTTATGTTTTGTTGAATGCTAGCTGGCTTTCTTCCCTTTTCTTGCTTCCACTTGAGGAACATCAGCCCTCTAAGGATGCCGTGTCTGTTAGCTTGTTGTCTTTAAATATTTTATTTTATGACTTTACTGAAGGCCGAAGGATCTTCAGTGTTTGGGGGGACAGGAAGCCTCTGAACTCAGTTCTCAGCAGCCATGAAAGCTCTGTTAGAAGTCACCTGTATGATATACTTCCCTTTATGGCACAGATTGCTTTGTCTTGCTGATATATGAATGTCACTGTGGATAATTAAGGTGCTAATATTCTAGGTTTCATAAGTGGAGGGGGAATTATTAAGAGGAGTTGGAGAGAATTTAAGTGAATTGATAAGATCTATAAAACAGTTTATGAAAAATGTATGTGGGAATCTGAAAGGTAATTTCATAAGCACCAGCTATTTTTAAACATGTAAAAAATATTTGCAGTCATATGTTTTTGTTTGTGTAGTTTGAAATTTTGAGACAAGCTTTTTGGCATAAATATAACCCTGTGTGAAATTTAAGGGGATATTTGTTCTTAATAATTTTTTCTGGCTACTTTTTTTATGGGTGAAGAGCTGTGGTATTGTCTACATCTCGTAAAGATAATTATAGTTGTTTAGTTTGGGGATTAATTTATTTTGAAATGTAATGATTTGATATTGCTTTCTAAATTTTATTTAGAAAGACTTACGACTTATACCCAAAATTTGAAAGAATGGATTTTTGGCTGCATCCTGTTTTGGATGAGCTCCAGATCAAATGTTGTTTGGTGCTGGTTTACTGTTGGAGTACACAGGTTTCTGTTCAAGGGAAACAATTAATGTCCTTTGCACTTTGATGGCAGATTTTTCGGACGCTGCCTGATGCCACACCCCCTGAGTCAGTCTCCCAGTCACCCCCAAATGCTCCACCAAGACAATCGAAGAGACAAGGCCAGAGGACCAAGAGACCTGTGGCTGTGTATAATCTCTGTCTTCAGCTGGAAGATGGTAAGATGTTCATTATATTTTTCTGCTTGACAGCATGTTGAGAATATGGCATATCATATGTCCTCTGGCAAGGCCATGGTTTTCCATTCTGTGTATGGTTGTGTTATTTTTTTTAAATGATTTTTTAGAGAGAGATGGAGGGTGGGGAGACAGAGAGAAAGAGAAACACTAATATGTTGGTCCACTTATTTATGCATTCATTGGTTGATTCTTGAATGTGCCCTGACTGGGGATTGAACCCGCAATATTGGTGTCTGGGGGTGACGCTCTGACCAACTGAGCTACCCAGCCAGGGCCATTCTTTGTGTTTCAATTTCTTTTTCCCTGAAGATTTTTCTGAGATTAACAGGGAGGGTAATGCTTTCCTGTCTGGGAGAGAAGTAAGTTTCAGTTTTGTGTTTGTCTTTGTTATGCATGGTTCTTTTTATATTTTTAAAAGACAGCTTAAATTTCTTTTTTGGGAGACTTGTGTGACCTCCTGTGAGGTTATATAATCCTGAGACAAATGGAAGGGGAACTAAAATTAAAGCAGATCTTTTATGAGAGGAGTCTGATGTTAAATGCATTTATATTGAAGGCACAGTTCACCGTAGCCCAGGGGTTATGGCTTATGCACCTTACTTGCTCCATGTTTCTGCCTTTCTCATAAGGCAGGTATCTAATCATATGGCAGGGGTGGCAGGTTGACCTGTTTTTAGGGGCTAGGCTGAGTGAACTGAGCTGCAGTCGGATTCTGGCAAATGTAAGTTCTCAAGTCCCACTTGGGCTACGATGTTCGGGCTGATTTTTTTTTTTTTAATTAATCCTTTTTTCCATTGTTTTTTTTTTTTTTTGAGAGAATGGAAAGAAGGGGAAGAGACAGAAAGAGAGAGGCACATTGATTGGTTGCCTCTCGCACACATCCCAGTAGGGGCGGGAGACGGAGCCTGCAATTAAGTTACACGTCCTTGATGGGGAATCGAACCCATGATCCTTCAGTTTGCAGGTTGTTGACACTCTAACCACTGAGCAAACCGGATAGGGCCAGGCTAATTCTTGTCATGTAATCATGTTGTCTCAATGTTGCCAGATTGTCTAGTTGTTTTTTTTTTTTTTTTTTTTTTTTGAGAGAGAGAGAGAGAGAGAGAGAGAGAGAGAGAGAGAGAGAGAGAGAGAGAGAAACAGAAACAGAAACATCTGAGAGAGAGACACATTGATTATCGATTAGTTGCCTCCTGAGCACACCCTGACCTGCAACCCAGGTACGTGCCTTTGACCAAAAATCAAACCCCCGACCCTTAGGTGTGCAGGCCGACACTCTAACCGCCTTGCAACACTGGCCAGATTGCCTAGTTTTTATAGAGAGTCTGGAAATTTGAATTTTAAACATGAATTCCTGCAAAACAAGATGGTGAGCCAGGTAGAGAACACCAACTGCTGATTTTGTAGCCATATGGTTATGGATGTGGAGAAGGCAATGATCATGGTCTCAAAAGCCTGTGTTTTCAGTGTGCCTGTCTGCAACTGTGACTTTTGTTGTGGGACTTCACCCCTGCTGAGGACATTTTCTGATTTTGAAATTAGTCTTCATTTGTCTTCCTCTTCTCATCCTCTTTGTTTTTGGCATCTTTCATTTATTATTCTTTAAAGCTACAGAAGTTATATTGGTTTGGCAGTGTGGGATTGTTGTCAAAGGGAGGAAGGGAATGAAGATAGAAACCAATACAGTATCTTTATCATAAGCAGCTATGTAATCAAATGTCTAGGTCAGTGATCAGTAAACTCATTTAGTTAACAGAGCCAAATATCAACAGTACTTCTTCAAAATAGACTCGCCCAGGCTGAAAACTGACTTCTGCGCATGGGCCATGAAGTTTCAATCGCACTGCACGTGCACCCGCATGTGGTATTTTGTGGAAGAGCCACACTCAAGGGACCAAAGAGCTGCATGTGGCTTGCGAGCCGCAGTTTGCCGACCACGGGTCTAGGTTGTTAATATCCAAAGATCTGTGCAAGCAAGTGACAGTGTCTTCAACTCAGCTGACTTGGGGGTGTCTACAAAAGGTCTCAGAATGCTTCATATAATAACATTGGGGGCTATGAGGTTTTAATTTTTTAAAGATTTTTAAAATTTTAAAGATTTCTAATTTTTATGGGTGATTTTATTCTTAAAATTTTTTTAAATTAAATTTATTGAGGTGACATTGGTTAATAACATTATAGGTTTCAAGCGTATAGTTCTATACTACATCATCTGCATGTTGCATTATGTGCCCACCATCTCAAGTTAAATCCCCTTGTCATCATATATTTGATCCCCTTTACTACTCTCCCACCCCCATTACTCTCTGGTAACCACCATACTGTTGTCTGTCTTATTTGTTCATTTGTTGCTTTCAGTTTTATATCTCACACATGAATGAAGTCCTATGGCTATTGCCTATTTCTGTATGACTTATTTCGCTTAGCATGATATTCTCCATATCCATCCATGTTGTCACAAATTGCAGTATTTCATCTTTTCTTATGATTGAGTATTACATCTTCTTTATCCAATTATCTATTGAAGGACACTTCAGTTGCTTCAATGACTTGGCACCATGAACAATGCAGCTATGAACATAGAGGTGCAGCTATGAACATCTCTATGAATATTTGTTTTCAAATTTTTGGGATAGATACCCAGAAGAGGGGTTGCTGGGTCATATGGTAACTCTATTCTTAATTTTTTTGAGGAACCTCCTGTTTTCCATGGTGGCTGCACTAACTTCCATGTCTACCAACACTGAATGAGAGTTCCTTTTTCTTCACAACCTCTCCAACACTCATTACTTGTCTTTTTGATAATAGCCATTCTCACAGGTGTGAATTGGTGTCACTTTGTAGTTTTGACTTGCATTTCCCGAATAGCTAGTGAAGTTGAGCATTTTTTTATAGTTTGTTGGCCATTTGTATGCCTTCTTGGGAAAAGTGTCTGTTCTGGTCCTCTGCCTATTTTTTAATTAGATTATTTATTTTTGTTGTTGAATTGTATGAGTTCTTTATATATTTTGGATATTAGCCCCTCATCACAGGTGTTGTTTGCAATACCTTCTCCCATTCGGTTAGTTGTCTTTTTGTTGTTGAAAGGTTCTTTTTCTATGCAGAAGGTTTTAGTTTGATATAGTCCCATTCATTAATTTTTGCTTTACTCCCTTGCCAAATTCATAAAATCCTCTCTTAAGACCAAGGTCTGTAAATTTAGTACCTGTATTTTCTCCTATGTGATTTATTGTTGCAGGTCTTATATTTAGGTCTTTGATCCATTTTGAGTTAATTTTTGTATATGGTAACAAAGAGCAGACTAGTTTCATTCTTTTGCATGTGGCTTTCCAATTTTCCCAGCACCATTTATTGAAGAGGCTTTTCTTTTTTTCATTGTGTTTTTGGCTCCTTTGTAGAAATTTTTTCTTGCCCATTAATGTTTAATCTTTATTGGGGGCTTGTTTAAGACATATTTCATATGATACAAATATTAGTTTTACAGTCAGATCCTTGTTTTCCAGAAGAGGGGCATGAATCTATAATTCCAGAGCTTTCTTTTAGACATTAGTTTCAACTTCTGAACCCGCCTAACCTTTTTGTTCTCTCTCTTTTTCTCACTTTCATTCTCTCTCAGTAGAGTTGCTAATAAGGAGTAAAACTGGTTGAAATTGCACCTTTTCTTATACCTCACTTGTTCTCAGGTGGAAGTGTTGATAAAGAGTGAAAGAGGCAAATGTTGAGAAGTAAAGGGGGGAAAATCAAGAAGCCATTGATAATATGTGCATTGACTCAAACTGAATAGACAATATTTCATTAAGGAAATGACCAAAGAGGGACCTTTTGTCTTAGAATTACATCTACTTTTTTTGACATTTTTAGGACTTTAATCATAATACTAAATCACAACTTCATAGCATATTAATCTTTTCATCTTTGGGTTGCTAAGTGATTATTAAAGGGTAAGAAATTGTTGAAGTGGTATTCAGAACATCTTTTATGGGAATATTGAAGATGGTTTGCTATAATATTTAGGTTATATAATGATTAAACATTATTTGATTGTAAGGGAAAAGAGATCGTCAGATATTCAGTTCTCTAGTCTGTTTTTATGTTCATCATTTATATGATGTTTCAGTCTACATTTTGTACTTTATAACTTTACATTAATTCTTAGATTTTTTTTTTAAGTTGTCAGAATAAGGAAAGCTCATGATTTTGGTCATGGGGTGATTTTATTTTACCTTAGAGGTCATAAGATCAAGCAATTAAAACTATTATTTACCCCCCTCCCCCCCAATTATTTGTTAGTTACACTTAAGTTGTGTGAAAAAAATTATTTCAGAGAGATCAAAATAGGGGTATGTTTGGCATTTTCTAAAAAAAGGGAAATAAATGAAGAGAAGTGGTGTATATGCTTTTGAAAGGAAGCATACAGGGAAAGGATGCTAAAAGACTGTTATTGAATATGACTCAGCATACTGAAAACTCTACCCCTTCAAGAAAAACCATCTATTCTTATCACTAGAACTTAAATGATGTTGTTTTTGTAGCCTGAGTTAGCTAATGTCAACTCTACTTGAAGGTTTCAAAACGTTTAATCTTTTATTGTATTTTTTAAAATTGATAGTAGTAGAATTACTTTCCATATATAGTTTGGTTGATTATTTTTCCAAATGTTTTAGTTTAATCAGTCTGGTAGAAAATTTAAATGCAAATATGTCCTTCCCCCTGACGGCCCCCCCGCCCCCCCTCCCCCCACGCTCACACACACACATTTATTCACTGTAGTATAAGGTAAATTCAATTTAATAAAATCCAGGACAAATAATTTTTATTTAAAACTTTGGTAGATTATCTGCCAAGATTCAGGAACCTAGAGTGGATAACTGGGAATTTTCTCAGCACTATGATTTGGTCACAGATTTGGTTTTGAGAGAAGTGGTTTGTGGTGTGTTATTTCATCTTCTGCTTTGGTAGGGTGTGGAACTGTGATGTAC